AACTCGATATTATTCGATAAATAGATTTGTATCGATTCATGTCTATTATTCGATAAAAATCGTTTATAGATTTGTATTGATTTATAATAGTTTATCGATATATAGCATTATATTCTAATCGATACAAAATGATTAATTGTTATATATCAATGATTATCTATTAAAAACTTTCCCGATGATGGCAATTAATAATTGAAATAAATAATAAAAAAAAAAATAAAAAAATAAAAAATAATTGAAATAAATTGAAAAATGATGTGAAACTGCATAGATTTGAATGATATGAATTGAGAAATGACGTATAACATATATAGCCCGATTGCTCATTATATAACAGTCTTTGCAATATTCATTTGTAGTATTTATTTAATACATTTAGCCCATCATATGATGACAGGCTCTAATACTAGTAATTACTGAAAAAAATTAGCGTTATTATTGGTATTCATATAAAACCCAATATTATCTTGTAATACCAACTCGCTTTTTTCATAATTGTAATACAAACTCACTTTTTTCATAATTGTTCTGATTTCTCAGATCAACAACATTTATATTTATGCTATTCCTATTGATACAAGTTTTTATCTTGTATATCTTTACCAAATAATTTCTATGTAACAAATTTTCAAGGCATTAGATGCTAAACTAAATTGATCTGGATCATGAAATGCATTCATGAAGACAATCTAGCATATTTACCATTACACTATATGTTGTTTTTTCCATTTGGTGACTTTGTATAGCACGCTCAATTGTATCAAGTTATAGCTAATAAATATAGATATTTTGTTGAAAATCAAAGTAATGCTCCGCACCTTACACAAATAGACTTTTATTCATTTTGCCTTTTTTCATGATATGTAGAGTTTTTTACTATTCTTTATAGTAGAAAATTATTGCAAGAATTTATAGTGAATGCTTGGGCTGCAACTAAACCAAATCGGCTAAGATTCTTGCATAAAAATCAAGACATACTAAGAGCAAACATATATCAGAGGCTCACAGATATAGTAGGCAAAAGTGCAAATGAGAAAGTAAATTTGAGCAATCTTGGATGTCATATAATTCTTCTGTCAACATATAATGGAAGCACGAATTATATGTTCGAGATTTTCTATGATTCTATAGCAATAGCACATTTTTATCAACACCCAGATATTTTGAACAATAACTGCTAATCCAAATTGAAAAGAAATTGAAAAGAAATTAGAGATGAATTACTACCTGGTCAAACTACAGCAGATAGACCTGACTTAGTTTTATGAGTATTTGAACTTAAACATCATACTCTTATTCATGATATTAAAAATAATAATATTTTTGAAAAAGTAGCAGCTTATGTATATACAATTGAATTTCAAAAGCGTGGTCTTCCTTACATACATTTTCTAATTTTTCTTAATAGTGATAATAAAATAAGAGAACTTGCTGATGTTGACAAAATCATATGTGCAGAATTTCCTGATCACAAGATAGATCTATTGCTTTTTGATACTGTATTGCACTGCATGATTCTTAGGTCTTGCAGATCATATAATCCACAAGCTCTGTATATAGAAAATAGGTGTTGTCAGAGGAATTATCCTAAAAATTTCAATAGTATGATGTTAATGAATATTGATGGTTATCCGATTTATGCAAGAAGGAATGATGGTCATATATTTAATATTGGTAGCAAAACTGTTAATAATGGTGATATGGTGCTATACAACCCTATTCTTAGTCAAAAATTTAATTGTTATATAAATAAATATTGAAGTGTACGTATCCGTAAGAGTATATGTTTCATTTAAATATATACTGTTGTTTATCACTTATGTTCGACAATTTATTGTTATTGAATGCATATTGATCTTTTTTAATTTAAACCTTTAATTTTTTTTTTATAATTTATTTTTTTTTTGTAATTTATTTTTTTTTTGTAATTTAATTTTTTTTGTAATTTAATTTTTTTTTGTAATTAATTAATTTATTTTGTGATTCTTTAATTTTTAATCAGTTTTACTCTTTTTGATTTTTTTTAAATTTTATTTATTTTTTTACTTTTTTCAATATTATTTATTTTTCTTTGTTATTTAATTATATTTCATATTTTTTATTTCTATTTATTATGCTATAAATTTTATTTCGTATACATTAACGCTTTTACTTTTTCAAGTTTGCTAAACATGCCAGTGATATTTACTATCATAGTTGCCCTATCTTAAAAGTTAAATATTAAATACATTTTCTAAGTAAATCTTTCTATCTTTCCAAAAAAACT